ATCCACACAGTCAATAAAACACAAATAGATGATTGTGCTATTATCTGCTTTCAGCCAAGATTCAAATGATATCAGCAATGGTCTCTTATGAATCCAGCTTGAATTTCTGTCAGTTCCAGCTGTTATTTAAAAAAAATGTTCAGAAAGATTTTACCTGCATGTGATATTAATGATATTGTTGGATACTTTCCAGCATCGCTTGGATCACCATTTTTTGGATCTTTTCCAGTTGTTTGGCCAGGTAGCTAACTTCCAAATGTATTTTTTAATAGGTTTGCATGCAATAATTTTTTTAAAAAGTCTTCCTAATTAGTTGGCATAGTCTAGTGAGCATGTCTGGGGTTACATCTCTACAACTTCTGTTATGCAGATGATACACTTTGCTTGCTGAGAGTGAATAGGACTTGAAATACTTGCAGCAAAACAGCAAAGACTATGCTATTTCCTCTTTTACCAAGGACCCGCCAACATGGGCTGTGTTTGCTCCAAAGCCATGAAGAAGGTGCCCTGAGTCATCATAGAGAAATACTACATGTGCCTGGGTAATGACTTCCACAAGAACAAGCACGTGTGTAAGGAGATCACCTTTATTCCCAGCAAGAAGCTCTGGAACAAGATACCAGGTTATGTCACACATCTGATGGAGCAGATTTAGAGAGGGCCTGTGAGAGGCATCTCCATTAAGCTGTGGAAGGAGGTGAGAGAAAGGAGAGATAATTATGGGTTTCAGGTCCAGGGTTTCAGCCCTGGACCAGGAGATCATTAAAGTAGATCCTGATACTAAAGAAATGCGGAAGCTCTTGGACTCTGGCAGTCTGGCCAACCTGCAGGAAGGTCACTCGGCCCACAGTCAAGATGAATTTCAAAACACCATGTGGAGCCGTTTGAGTCTGTCTGACATGCTGTAATATTATCAATAAACTTGGGCACACCACACACACACACACACACACACACACACAGAACAAAGACTACAATCTTTAATATGGATTATATTTCAACATCAAGAAAATAAAAATCTTTACCACTGGGCCAACAGGCAACATCATAATAGATGGAGAAAGATTGAAGTTGGCAAGGATTCATTTTGCTTGGATCTACTACCAACATCTATGGTAAAAGCAGGTAAGAAATCAAAAGAAATGCTGCCTTGGAGAAATCTACTGTCAAGAATTTCTCCAAAATACTAAAGAGCGAGAATGTAAATTTTTTAGGTGTGCATGATCCAAACCATGGTCTTTTAGATTATTTGCTATGCATCTGAAAGTTGGACAATGAAGAATAGATATCTTTGTCTTATAAAGGTGAAGAAGAGTCTTGTAAAGGTGGAGAAAAATACTGAACATCCTATGGGATGCCAAAAGTACAAACACATATGTCTTGGAGGATGAGAAACCAAAGTGTTCCTTAAGACAAGGATGGTGAAACTTAATCTTGCATACTGCAAGCATGTTGTCTGAAGGGACCAGTCCTTGGAAAAAGGCATCATGTTGGGAAATGTGGAGAGTTAGAGAAAGACTTTCAACAAGATGGATTCCCAGTGACTGTTCAGGTTCAGATATATTGTTCATAGATTCTCTACAAGTCTTGGTTGACACAACAGCACTTAACAAAAACATCAACAAAGGAAGGCTAACATTCCAAACAGTAGCATGTGAATCTAGATTTAAGATGACTCCCAGGTTTTTTTCTGAAATTAGTTGAAGCATCACATCTCCAAGCAGTTCTTAAACTAAGAGAGTTCCAAAGTAATGAATTTTTATTTGTTTTTTTCATTTCTTGTCATTGCTGTTGTTGTGTATCATGGAGTATAACCTGACCCACAGCTGTGACCTTTCAGTGGGGAGGAGATTTCCCATTGTCCTCCTTCAGAGTGGCTGCTAGATTCCAACCACTTTAGGATGGCAGCGAAGCTCCTTACCATTGATTGGGTCATTGCTATTGTTGTTAAGTGTGGTTGAGTACAGTATGACTCATAGCGAACTTACAGATCTGAACTCTTTCCTACCCTATGCCATCCTCATTGTCTCTGACACACTTGAGCCCATTGCTGCAGTCACTATATCAATCCATCTCATTGAGGGTCTTGGTCTCTTTTGTTGACCCTTCACCTTTCCAATCATGATATACCTTTCCAAGGAATATCCTCTCCTAGCAACATGACCAAAATATGAGAGAACAAGCTTGGGAATCCTTGCTTCCAAGAAGAATTCTGTCTTTACTTTACCCAAGACATATGTGTTTGTTCTTTTGGCATTTCATGGGTTACTCAGTACGCTTCTCCAACACTGCAATTCAAAGGCATCAATTCTTCTTCTGTCATCCCTGTTCATTATCCAGCTCTTGAAGGCATATCAAGTGATTGAAAAGACCATGGCCTGAGTCAGGTTCACCTGAGTCTTGAAGCTAACATCTTTGTTCCTCAGTATTTTAGAGAGGTCCCTGTCAATGAACTTGCCCAATACTATATGTCTCTTGATCTCCTGACTGCTAATAACAGTAAGATAAAATCTTTGACAATTTCGATCTTTTCTCCATCATGATGTTGCTTATCAATCCAGTGGTGAGGATTTTTGTTTTCTTGATATTGAGATGCAATCTATATTGAAGGCTGATCTGCAACAAACATGGAAAGTTCTCCTCAATTTCAGGAATCAAGGTTATGTCATCTGTACATTGCAGGTTGTTGATGATTCTTCTGATCCTGCTATCACATTCTTCTTCATGGAGTGCAGCTTCTTGAATGATTTTCTCATTGTACAGATTGAATAGGATACAACTTCAATACATACCTTTCCTTATTTTAAACCATGCAGTGTTCCCTTGCTCCATTAGAACAACAGCTTCTTGGAGTAACTCTAGGTTTTATGTGAGCATAATTTAGTGTTCTGGACCATCATTCCTTTCAACATTAGTTATCGTTTGTTATGGCCCACACACTCACATATCTTTGCATAATTAATACAACACTGCACATATATAATATTCTCTGCTTTCAGCTAAGACCTATTTGACATCAGCAATGATATCCCTGTTGCCACAGCCTCTTCTGAGTCTAGCTTGAATTTCAGACAGTTCCCTGTGGAGGAATTGTTCTAACCATTTTAAATAATATTTAGCAAGATTTTACCTGCATATGATACTAATGATATTCAATAATTTCCACACTCTATTGGATCACCTTTTTTGAGAACAGGAACAAATATGATCTTTTCTAGTCAGTGATGGGGTAGCTCCTCTCTTCCATATTTGTTGGCAGATGCTCATGGGCACATCCTTGATTTCCTCTTAACAATCTTCAACTCTGCTAAGAGAGTTCAGGTATCATATGAGTGACTCCTGTATAACCTTCTAGAGAGCTTCCATCTTGAAGAACATGTTCCAGGATGACTAAGAACCTCATCTGGAGATGGCCATCTTCAACACCACACATAGGTTTTTCTGGAATTGACTGAATCATGCACATCCTAGGTCTTCTTGATCATCTGATCAAGCTCCTATTAGACCCAGAAAGTACTTTCAGTGGTGCCTATCTTGAAAGAACTGTGTATGTTCTCAATTACTCTGATCTCTCTCTTGTGGGCCAATCCTGGATTATTCCTTCTTTCATGAATAAACACTACGGCCTTTTTCCTTTTGATGACTCTTAAACTCTTTTGATAACTCTTCTTCATGAACAAACATGGTATCTTTTCCTCACCTCCCGAGGATTTGATCACGGGTTAGAAGTGCCTTTGCCCCTTGTCCTCTTTACAACTTTTCTTTAATAAACCACTGTTTTTGCTTGCAGAGAAAAACACAGACTCCAGTTTTGCTGTTCTTAACAGGTGGGACAGTACATCTGGTCTAGTTTCAATTATGAGAGTCTCCCAGCCTGTTTGCAGGAAGGACTTTGATATTTTAAATGATTACTTTGAGTAAATACCTATTGTAACCATTATTTTTTATTTGCTTTCCCCAGCAGAAAGCAAACAAAATGACAATGTTTTCCAAAATGGTTTACCAAGTAATTTTCTCAAGGTAGAGAGTTAAAAGAGTTACAGGGATAAATGATAAATTACATTCTTACTATTTTGTTACAAAATGGTTTTAGCCTCAGACTAGCAGATCCTCCATCTAACGCCAAGAGTCCTAAAATCGAGCATGAGGATCCAAGGGTCGGGGATGGAAGCAGAGGGATGAAGATGTGCCTAGGGGGATGGGGGGGGGGGAGGAAGGGGTTGTACAAGTTGATGGGGTGGGGGTGTGGATTGGAAGAATCTGGCCTCAAAAATAATGTGTTAGAATTTTGCAAATGAATTAGTTGGCTTTTAAAAAGAGTCCTAAATTTGGAGTGCTTTTTCTCAATCCTGCCTTTGACTTCAAAGATATTTTAACATTTGGTTCCTGCTCTAAGTATTTAAAAATGTCGTCTTCTTCATCATCTGAAAGAGCAGGCGATTTTCAGTGTTTGTTCATGGTCCGGGTCTATCCTTTGATAAAGTTCTTGTGCCAACTTTGTGAGGGTTTGTTTCTACTGCTTAGAGGCTCAATTCCTTGAGAAGCATTTCTCTTTCAAGCATTTCAGAAGGTCTCACTCTTGCACTGTATTACTTCCAAGGATTAGCGGCTTTACAACTGCAGAACCTCCTACAAGGCCCCTCTCTGGAGTTCGATCGTATTACCGATGAATGACTGGGAATAGCTGAACGTCTATGCTGGCCTTTCGCCGTCCACGGGTAAGTCAAGCATTGGGTCCTCGGCACCCGTATCTGTTCGTGCCCGGCGTCCCGGTCCAGGCGCGGTGGACCAAGCAGCTGAACCTGGTAGAGGTCAAGATGAAGCGGTGAACACTCCCAGGGTCGGGCGCTGGGGAAGCACAGCCACGCCATTGGCTCTGAGTCCCGCCTTTCGTGTGACGTCTACACGCGGAGGCGGGGCCACGTAGCCGACGCAGCGGGTCGCGGACCTGCGGTGTGTGCACTTTTCGCGCCTGCGCAGCTATTGCTCCCCGCACCTCGATGGCGCTACGCTACCTTCTGCTACCTGGTCGGGGCGGCTGCTGGGCTCGTGGCCTCCCGCTTCTCCTGTTGCCGGGTGGCGGCGTGGGCCCGAGCGAAAGGTCCTGCCTCCGGACGGTGAGTACCAGTGCACGGGCCCTACTCGCGGGAAGACCAAGGTCATCACTCGCCCTCGCCCACTGCGCCTGCTCCTTTCCCGAGAGCAGGCCGCGCGACTCCGGTGTGTGATACCCGTGCGGCCCCTGTCGAGCCCGGTGCCAGCTACGGGTCTCATCGGGCACCCGCTTTCCGCTTAGGGGGAGGCCGGGAAGATGTGGATTCCATTCTTGAGCCGGTTGGGGTGCCTCGTTCCTCGGGGCTTCGACAACACTGGAGAGTAGCGTGAAGATGGGGAATGTGCTTGAGCCAGCATGGAAGGGTAAGGTAGGCAGAAGCACAGATGAGAGTTAGGCTTCGTGAGCCTCAGTCTTTGTAGCTGTAGAATGGGACGGTCTGGGTTGATAGCTTTCAGAAGGAGGCGGTTCCTGTTAGCAGTGAACAATAGATAAAAGTTTCTGTATGTGGGGTATATGGTGATACAGTTTTCCAGAGTGAACATTTTGTGTTCTAGCAGAACCACTGCAGTACCCAGCCAGCTTCAAGGAAAGGCTCCTTGTATTCCTTAACCCAAGCCACCTAGTTCGATGACAGTTTTTTGCTTGATCATTTCTTTAGGAGCTATGATTAAGACATTCTCTCAAACCAGAAGAGTGGAAATTGTAACCCAGCCACTGATCTGCAGGAGAAAGATGAGGCAGTTGGCATCTGGATTTACAGCCATGGGAACCCTATTGGCAGTCCCCTTTCTGTGTCACAGTTACTGAGTTGAAATCTACTAGATGCAGTGGGTTTAGCTTTTTGTTTTGAGTCATTTCTTTAGAGGAGTTGTTTACTGTCCAGTGGGAAGTTGACCCTTTGGTGGGTTTTCAGAGGCAGTAGTGAGTAGCTGTAGGAGGAGATTACCATCTTTATCCCACAGAGCAGTTAGTGTATTCAAACCACATACCATTCGTTTGACAGTGCAATTCCATACCAGTAAGCCGTAATATCCTTAGGTACACTCAGCAGAGTGTTTTGGCTGTTCAAATACTGAGGCCAGATACACAGCACCGTGATTTTGGCTACTTACTAGTTGACTGCCATAATGGAAATGCCTCATCTTTTTCTGCTTTAAAGAGAGCACTAATGATATCTTTCTTTATTTGCTGTTTCTTCTCTTTGAAGGTCTCCTGTCTTTGTTTAGATTGATACATTAGTTTTCTTTGCTTCTACTTGATGAGATCTCTGGTGTAGGTGGTTGGTTGTGCTTCTAATTCAAAGATTGTGCTCACCTGACAGAATCCATCAGGACTTGGAGGGAGCAAGAGAGGCTGTGTCCTCCCACGTGATTTACAGCCTCAGAAAACCTGCTGGAGAGTCCAGCCTGACTTGAAGAGAGTGAAAACTATTATAACGAATGGGTGAAGAGCTGGAGTTAGAAAATAAAAAAGGAAGAAGTCACTTGGTAGAACTCTTCTTTGAGCTGAAAGAACTGAAAAACAAATGTAAGCCTTGAGTTGCAGTACTGAAGGATGCTATGGGCAAATCTTGAATGATTAGGAAAAATCAAAAGAAGATAGAGGGGTTACATGGAGTCACTGTACCAAAAAGAATTGACAGAGAACCATTTCAGGAAGTAGCATATGAGCAAAACAGTGGTTAATGAAGAAAGAATTTCAATGACACCAAAGATGTTGGCAAAAAATAAGGCCTCGAATTGACAGGATGCCAGTTGATATGTTCCACCTCACAGAGGCATCCTAACAAAATTCGTATATGTTGTGTTTTACACATCTTTAATTCACATTGTGTTTCATGTCATTCATATTCATGTTGTATAAAATTAATCACCACTAAAAAAAATTAATCACCATTGAACTATGTGTGTTCTAAGAAATTTTCAAAGACAGCTGTCTGACCAACTGACTAGTAGAGATCATAGTGTTTCCATCTTCAAAAAAGCTGATCGGTGTGCAACAGTGAATGAATGAAAGTCTGACTTTTTAGAAAATGTTTGTTAAAAGCACAATTAAAGTAAAAGGATGCAGAGTTGGGGGGAGTTGGTCCAAGAGAATGTGGAAATTATCAAACAGTGTCACTTGCAAGAAAAATCTGTGGAAGGTTATCTAAAAATGGCTAGAACAATATATCTCAAGGGAGCTTCTAGAACTTAAGGCTGGCTGGATTCAAAATAGACCTGGGCACCAGGGATATCATTGCTGATGTTGGATGGATCCTGGATGGAAGCAGAGAATACCAGAAGAATGTCTCTTTGTGCTTTATTGACTATGCAAAGGCATTTGACAATATGGATAATAACAAACATTGAGAAGAATGGGAATCCCAGAACACTTAAGGTGCTCATGCAAAAGGCAGTCCAAGAAACTGTTGTCACGCATAGGAAGGGAACACTGCAGGTTTAAAATCCAGAAAGGTGTGTGTCAGGGCTGTGTCTTTTCTCCCTACTTATTTGAGAAGCAGGACTTTGAGAATGAATATGAGCTCAGGGATTGGAGGAAAACTCATCAACAGCTTCTGTTAAGTTGATGACACAACCTCACTTGCCTAATGTGAAGAGGACTTGAAATGCTTGGTCATGTACTACAGCCTTCAATATGTAATATGTCTCAAGTTAAGAAGAAATAAAAAGTCTTTTAACACTGTTCTGGTAGGCAGCATTATGATAGTTGGAGTAAAGATAGAAAGTAACAGTTTCATCTTGCTTGGGTTCACAGTCAGCACCCTTGTCAAGAAATCAAGATGTGTTACATTGAGAAAATCTGCTGCCAAGGATCTGTCCAAGGTGCTCCTTATCCAAGCCATGGTTTTTTCAGTTACTTGCTCTGCATCTGAGAGTTGCACAGTAAGTAAAGATGACAGAAGAAAAATCCATTCCTTTGAGTTGTGGCATTGGAGAAGAGTACTGGATTTCCAAAAGGATAGACAGGTCTTGGAGAAAATGCAGCTAGGGTGCTTCTTAGAGGCAAAAATAATGAAACTTTGTCCTACTTATTTTGGACATGTTGTCATGGAGGGATTTGTCTTTGGAAAAAGACATGACACTGAGAAATGTGGAGGGTCAGCGAGGGTCAGCGAAAGAGGAAGACCGTAAACACGACGGACTGACACCATGACTTGTAGTGTACTCAAGCCCATTTACAGGTCACAGTATTCTGAAGCTTATTCGAGATGGTAAGGAATGTTGCACTTCTCTGACCAGCATGAAAGAGCCACCAATGGAATAAACTAAGATTTTTCTTAACTCAAGGGGTAAGTAGAGAGGAACTCATGGTTCAGTGTCCTTCTGACTAGTACATCCTCTTAACTTTTATTGACAAGTTTATCATTGCATAAGCAGTAAAATATGTTAACTGGACTCCAAAATATTTTTCACTCTCTTATTTGCTTCCCTGTTTCCATCACCACAGGTTAATGCTTCAGAGCATTAGTAGGAAAACTAAGGTTTTGCCTGTCCCAAGGCAGGGGCAGAGTCTTTGTTTTGTCTTACCCAGGAAGCTCCTGCCTTGGTCAGCTTATCCCTTACAGAGGATGGCACAGGATATAGCAGGATTCAGATCCATCTTTCACAGAGTCACCATGAATTGTAGTCGACTGGCACCACATAACACCACCACCATCCTTCCTTGCACAGTCCATTTTTAAAGTTATATTAAATATTTTTTTTTATTTGAGGGAAAGTTTACAAATAATACTGCATTTTCATTTGATCATGTTTTATAGCATTGCAATTCCAGCTTTGTTGGATCATTCATACATCTTTTTGTAACATTAATTATAATGGATTAATATAATTAATTACAGTGTCTGATCAATATATTGTGTATTTTCTCTTCACCCAGCCTACTTATTTATTAATTTTTATTCTTCTTCCCATCCTTAGTAACCCATCCAAAATCCTATAGTAGTAACTCTTAGCTTTTTGTAATAGTGGTTGTATACTATAATAGACTCTGGGAAGAATGGGAATCCCAGAACATTTGATTGTGCTAATGCAAAACTTATACTTGGACTAAGAGGCAGTTTGTCAGAACAGAGCAAGGAGACACTACATGGTTCAAATCAAGGGGGTTCATCAGGGATGTATTCTGTCTCCATACCTTTTCAATCTGTATGCAGAACAGATCATCTGAGACCTGGGCTATACGAAGAGGAATGTGGCATCAGGATTGGTGGAAGACTCATCAACAACCTGAGTTATGCAGATGGCACAACCCTGCTTGCTGAAACTGAGGAGGACCTGAAGCGCTTGCTGCAGAAGATCAAGGACTGTAGCCTCCTATATGGACTGAAGCTCAACATCAAGAAAACAAAGATTCTAACCACTGGGCCAATTGGCAGCATCAGTATGGATGGTGAAGAGATTGAGATAGTT